GGTTAGATGATATCTCAGGGTGGTTTTGATTTGCATTTCTCTAATAATTAAGGATGTATGTTTGCTAGCCATTCATCTTTCTTATTTAGAGAAGGTTCTATTTATATCTCTTGCCTATTGATGTATGGGATTATTGGCTTTTTTCATGTGGATTAATTTGAGTTCTCTATAGATCTTGGTTATCAAGCTTTTGTCTGATTCAAAATATGCAAATACCCTTTCTCATTATGTAGGTTGTCTATTTGCTTTGGGTGTTGTTTCCTTAGCCATACAGAAGCTTTTCAGTTTGATTAAGTCCCATTTGTTTATTTTTGTTGTTGCAATTGCCAGTTATTAAGAGGTTGACCATACAGGTAACCTTCAGTTTCAGATTGTGTGGGACAGTGGATAATTTCATTCTTGGAGTGTAGGAGAGGTAGGATTGTCATAAAAATATTCCAGCCAATAGGGCAGCAATTTAATATATAGAGAATAGGATGGGGATGATTTACAAACCACACACTATAGTGATTCAAGTAAATTATTTATCAAAACTATTTAATGATTATTTACTTTAAAACTAGATTTATATTCTGGGATATTAGAATGACTGAGTAGAATTAAATTTATTTAAGTTCCCCAAATGTGTCAGGCCAGTGTTCACTGGATGTCAGAGTGGGATTGGGGTGGAATAGAGATCCTACACATCTGTCAAGAGGTAGAATTTCTGTTGCGAGCAGTTTCTGTAATGCTCACAGGCAGCAGATAAACATCAGTGCTAATAAGAATTGCCACCATTGTGAGTAGAGTAATAAGATACCACTAACTGAGTGGCTCAAACAGTATAAATTTGTTGTCTCAGAGGTTTGGAGGCTGGCAGTGTGAGATGGCAGGATCAGCAGGACCGTGCTCCCTCTGAAGGCACTAGGGAAGTTGTTTTCCAGGCCCCTCTCCTGGTTTCTAGTAGTACCTCAGTTGTGTCAGGATATTTTCAGTATATTTTCCCCCTTTGTGTGTCTATCTTCGCGAGGTCACCTTTTGTAAGAACATCAGTCATATTTGATTGGGGGCCCACGCTACCCAGTAACATTTGCGGCAGCCCAATTTCCAAATAAGGCCATTTTTTGAAGTATTGGGGCTTAGGACTTAAGCCTATGAATTATGTGGTGGGGTACAGTTAAGCTCATAACAAGTCACCAGATAGTGTTATATTGTTCCTATGGAGAGACTTGTGAAAGTGAAGGGGGATAATATTGTACGTATTTGTCAGGGCTGTCCAGAGAAACAGAACCGATAGGAGATATACGAGGTCAGACAATTGAGTTGGCCAAGGGGAGTCCTTGGAAGGTGATCATGGTGATGTTCAGCAGTGAGGTATGTATCACTTTTTCTAGGATGAGTTTGTGAACTTAATTGTCTGACGTGTGTGTATGTGTGTGTGTAAAAGAGGAGATTAATTGAGAATTGGCTCACACAATTATAAAGGCTGAGACACCTCATAACATCCCTCCTGCTAGAGTTCCCAGGAAAGCCAGAGGTGTATGTCTGTGTGAGTAGTAAGTTCTGAGAATCAGGAGAGCCATTGATACAATTCTTAGTCTGAGGTTGAAGACCTGAGAACAAGTGGGGTGGGGGGAGCTTTGCTAGTGTAAGTACCAGAGTCCTAAGGGCAGAGAACCAAGAATTCCCATCCCTAAGGGCAGGAGAAGATGGATATTATCCCAAATCAAGGAGATAGACAGGGAGAGAAAGAAACAGAGACAGAGAATGCATAATTTCTCTGCTTTTTTGTTCTGGAAGGGCTCTCATGGATTGGGTAATTCTCACCTACATTGGTGAGGGTGGATCTTTTTCACTCAGTCTATAGATTCAAATGCTAATCTCTCTCTCTCTCTGTTTTTAATGAGACAGAGTCTCACTTTGTTGCCCTGGGTAGAGTGCCATGGCATCAGCAAACAGCACCCTCTAACTCTTGGACTAAAGAGATTCTCTTCCCTCACTCTCCCACCTAACTAGGACTACAGGTGTCTGCCAGAACACTGAGCTATTTTTAGAGATGAGGTCTTATTCTGACTCAGGCTGGTCTCAAACCCATGAGCTCAGATGCTAATCTCTTCCAGAAACAATGCTTTACCACCTGTCTGGGCATTCCTTAGCCCATTCAGATCAACACGAACATAATCAGCTATTAATAGTTGTTTCAGGATAACAGGCATAAACTGGCACTACTATATACAAATCTGGATATATGGTCATTACATCTATAAGATAGGTAATAATGTATCCCATTTTCCAAAGGTTCAGTGAATTAAATGACTTTCCCAGAACTACAGCTAGGAGGAGGATGAGTGATATTCAAACCCCGGATAATCAGGTTCCAAAAAAGGAGACAAAGCTATCCTGTTAAAAGAAGTTAGCCTTTTCATGCCCGTAGAAAAAAATCCCTGTATTATGTTTATGACACTAGGTAAAATTGGAAATGATTCTGTTATACTCCATTCTTTAAAATTTCTTAGTATTCTTTGTATCTCTTTCCTTATGTAATCCATTTTAGCTATTATGAGAGAAAATAGTAAGTTGGTATATTATATTAGGCTTAATTTATATATAGTTAGCTATTTACATGGTGACTGTAAGTCTTTGATTATTGTTTGCTAGCTGTTCTGTGGGTATTCGGAGAACGAAACCCCACATGAAGCTATGTGAAACAGAGAATATCTGTGAATATTAAATTATTTTAGGCTTGCTAGAAAATTTATAAATAATTTTACATAAGTATAAACTGCTTTACTGTTTTTGTGAAGCTTTACTTAGAATCTAGATTTGATTTATTGCTTGATATATTTTTGTTAACAGATAAATAAGGAAACATTTTAGCATTCTTTATTATCTCTTACTGGGGTAAATTAAACTCACTTTGACAATCCAAAAAGAAATCGCTTTTTCCTAATTAATGAAGAAGAAAATAATTACCTGGAGTTCTGTGATGCAAGAGTAACCACCATTAGCATTAGTATTGTGGTATGTTTTCTTCTAGTCCTTGTCCTTTGTGTGCACAGGGTTAAAGTTAAATGACAACTCAATAGATGACAGTTCCTTCTGCCCTTTTCCTGTTGCTGCAGATGCTGTTACGATATTACCATTACTTTCATTTTTGTCACCATTCTCAAAGAGAGGATCTCTAGAAATACCAGAAAAGTGAAATCTATATGACTTACAGTCTGGATGTCAGAAGAAGTAAATAAAAAGTAATATCTTCCATTCCTCTGGGGCATTCTTCTTCTGAGAAGAAGTAAATGAAAAGTAATATCTTAGATGCCTCCAGATTTCTTATTTGGAAACTAGATGAATGTGTATAACTGACCATAGCTGGATATATAAGACACACAAGATCTGAGGATAATATCATGAGTTCAGAATAATGCATGATGAATTTGAGTTGTTTGTGAGATATCTAAATGCAGATACCTCGTGGACATACGGTTACCTGGAGCCTGGATCTGAGCAGAGATGTAGAATTCATATAAGAACATATTATCAAATTAGTGTTAAAGTAAGATATTTGCCAAGATGTTACTAAACCTCTATTCTACTGACTATGAAAAGCCATACTTTCCTGCAGTCATGACTATACTAAGGTCAAGAATTCTAGGTCAGTTTACCTAGTGCAAAGGTTAATTTTGTCTCACAGATGTTAGCAAGTTTAGATAGTTCATTAAAGAGACCTGTTCCTATGTATTAGTGCTGCCATTATTTTTATTTGTTTGTTTGTTTACTTATTTTCTATTTTGGGTGGTTGTCACTATTTTACAATGCTCATTCCATGGGAGAGCCCTGGTGCTTCTCCTCAAGGAGCGTCTGGACAGTGCTGTTCTGCTGGGGGTGCTGTCACTTCCTCATAGTGTTACTGCTAGAAACACAAAGTTCAGGGTAACAGTGGAAGACTGTCCATTTTGTGAAGCAGAAACTGGGGAGAGGTCAGGGAGGGCCTTGATAAAAAATGATCACTGGGTCCACCAACAAGGGGCTCACTGTTGATCCAGTAGGGGAGTTCCCTGGGATAGTGCATGTGGCGTCCAGGTTGATTAAGATCAGAGAAGCGGAACAGGAGCGAGCAGAGGAGGAACGTACGCTACTAGTCAAAATTCCTGGCTCAGGGAAGCAAAGACAGAAGCTTTGTATTTGGCAAAGTCAAATATTTTACTGTACTTGTCTTTGAATTCGGTTAGAACCTAGCATTCTGCCATGTAAGAACCTTGCTAATGAAAGAATAAGTGAATTAGTGATTTTTGAACTACTATCCACTAGAAATAATTAGGGTTTGATAAGAAAGTATCTTTGGATTCCTCTTGGAGATTAAATTTTTCATGTTTTTGTCATTTCACAAAAAAATTTTTTTTTAATGTGAAGTATAAATATGTGTTTGCTCCCCTTAAAAGAATCCTGGCTGTTTTCTAAATTATAACCTCTAGGTGAGGGGTACTCAATTGTATTACAAACAATAGATCCATTATTATTTAGTTTAACTATCAGTGGTTCTGTTTAACATATATGAATTTTAAGAAATTAATTTGAAACTCATAGCCCTTAGACAGATTCATTTATATGAAACTTAAAAAAAAAAAGAACATTATCTGTAAACCATTTAAATAAAGACCCCTGAAATGAGAAGTATCGTGACAGAACAAATTGATTCATATCAACTATTTTTAACAAATTCTTAAAATTAAGAGTTTTGATTTAGGCCTAAGTATTAAAAGGAATATGCGGTAAGCCTCCTACTGGCAGGTGCTGTTTATTTCTAAGCAGTGGAAGTTCCTTGGGCTCCACAGGAGATGGAGGTCTCATACACGGGCCCCCTCAGGGCCCACGGTGTTATCTGCCCAGCTGTGCCTGAGCCTCCTCTGGAAGTAGCACGAGGCGTATGTGATGGCCAGGATCTGAGTGTGTGAGGAGTGGTGGCACAGGGCTGACTCTGCTACTTTCCATTTTCCTGACATGGAGGCTTCCTTTATTTGTAGGTGAGCGTCCCTATCAATGCCCTTACTGTGAAAAAGGATTCAGTAAAAATGATGGACTGAAGATGCACATTCGTACTCACACCAGGGTAAGATTATATTGTCTCATTAATATTGATCATAGAAACCATACTTATTTTGAAAGAAATACATTTAGTTTTATATGAGAAAATAAAGGCGATACATCTGAAATTACACGTTTATATTTATAATGGATATTTGAGGATCAAGGCAAAACAATGGAAAAAGGAAAAAAACAATTCAAACCCCAAAGGGGCCCCCATTCTTTGAACTGCGAGTCAGTTTTCAGGAGTTAATAAGTGACACATTGTCAGATAGAATTTAACATTTAACGTGTAAATATCTTGCAGATAGTGTCCAGTAATAGGAACATTTTTGAGTAGAGGCAGGTCTGTCAGCATCTGGCCATTAATGCTTGCGAACAGGTGTATTTGCGAAAATGATACTGCACGTAATTTAAATTATAGGGAGAGATGGAGAATCAGGAAGTATGCTCAGAGCTGTACGGGGCACACCTAGGGCTGTGTTTCCTTCTTTTTTCCAAGGCTGCCACCTGCACCTCTTTTTGGACTATTGTCATTCTGTTATATATGACTTTCCCAGAGTTAAGCATCTGTCTCACATACTTTTAAAAAACATGAGCAACTCACTCACCATCAAGACAACATTTTGTAGCTCACTGTACTCTGTAGGTTACATTAGACAGTTGATAGAAATTTTCTGTGTGGAAATATTGTATGTTGTTTTAAATAGCTATTCTTAAGTTTGCCCTGAGCATCTTTTCACTGCTTTATCTTTCACCTAGTTCCTTTTCAGTCTGGTCTTTTAGATGTGCTTTTGGTATGTATATAAATGACATTTTTTTTTCAAATTTTAGGAGACATGCTTAATTCCCTTTAGAGCAATTTTAATTCAAGCTTCTCCTGGATTTTACTTTTTGCCTTAGCTATAAAATAAAAACTTTAGAGAAAACACATAATCTTAATATCCTTCCCAGTATAACAGTATTCTAGACCTCCACTTCAGTTCTATACTGCATAAAAGAGCTCCTCTGGGGTCCCATTAAGAAAGTAGATGTATTTCTTGTTCTTGTCACGGAAAGGAGAGGAAGCCTTGCCACTCGTTAAAGCAAGTCCATGAGCAGTTTTCTCACTCTGATTTGTAATATCATATGCATGTTGTATGAATAAGAACATTAGGAATTAGAGTATGTCCTAAATATAAAAGTGTTAATACTTAAGAAACTATAAATGATTAAATATTACTCTTAACAATAGTTTTATTTAAATATACTATATTTAAGGTTTAAGCTAATTTTAGATTAGTTTAGGAGATTATTTTGTACATGAGCAGTCATCACAAAAGTGTGAATAATGTATATTTAATCCTGGTTCCTGCGAGTAGAAACCAGCAATGTTAACCACCATTTGCATATTATTTTGTTTGGCTTGACCATTGAGGATAGGTATAATTACACCTGGGAAAGGCTATTTAAATCACTGAAGGAAAAGATACCTCAAGGCTTTTCTCAGGAAAGTGTGATGTTTCCATTTCAACTAAGTTGTTTTTTTACTTTGTTTTAATATAATGTTTTTAATGAGACTAATAAAAATAGTTAAGATAACTACAAGTGAAAATAAAAACAAGGATTACGTGCCAGGTACTTCGTTAAGCCTTAAAATTTAATAATTCACGTAAGCCTCCTCACAGCAATTCTTAAGAATAGTTATTATTAGCCCGTTTTGAAAAATGAGAAGCTAAGGCACAAACAAGCAAGTTTGTTGAGATTTGAACCCAGACAGACTGGCAGCAAAGATCCTCCTGCACTTTATTGCCTTTTATTCAGTTAAATATTTCCTCCTTCCTCTGATTCTTATCTTTCTTGTAAATCTCCAAAGTAAACAAATTGTACTCATGACCCCAAACTTATTCTTTTGAAATGTTGGCACTTAGTCTCAAGGATCCCATCACTGTCTCCAAGGGGTTCAGCCACAAATGAATCGTACCTAGTCAGAGTCTTCAAGCATTAACTGCACAAAAAGAAGACAAATTTGAGCCTTTGATGAAGGGAACTCCAGAGAATGCACAGACCAGAAAGCACCCCAGGTTGTAGGTGGGAATCCCACACAGTTAGTGGAAAGCTCTATCAAAGGAACAGGGTAAATAAATAGAAATATTTTGGGTTTGACCTCAAACTGTAATTTTCCTTTCTCATGCATTTTTTTATATTTTACCTAGTTTTGGTTTTGAAATCTTGTTTGCTAAGCATTAAATAAGGACACATATTCTTTGCCTGTTAGTCCAACTTTTCAAAAGCATATTGAAGTTATCAGCTAGTACAATAAAATTATTATCGAGAATCAAAAGAGATTTTTAAAAGAGAATTCTAAAGGAGCAACTTCTGCAAGGTCATATTTTCCCTTTATTATTTGTATTTTGTGAGACTCAGTTAACAAAAAAGATGCCATTACATTTGGACCGTAACACATTTCAGTTTCAATTTTGTGTTCACATTACATTAGGCATTTAGCCCTAATTCTTAGACCTTTTTTGGTCCTATTTCAAAATCTTTTAATTCCATTACAAAAGAGTAGCAAAAACTATATCATTCAGGACTTTATATCTTTAGGAAGTTGTGGTGATACTACATAAAATGTTGTGTCTTGCCTGCACCCCACAGATGCATTCTGGGGTGACTGCAAGGGTGCCTTTGAGAAGGAACACAATGGCATTTCTCTCTGGGTATTAACCTGTGGAGGCCAGTAAGAGTCCCAAGTGTGAGAGATAATTTTGCTAAAATCCAAATGTTGCTAACAGGCCAAACACTCAGAGACCTTTTGTGGAGAGTCCAGGAATTATGGTGAAGGTGATTGATTAGTTACTTTCAGTATATTCTCTTTATTTTCAATTTTCGACTTGTTGACTATGTGGTATCTAGCGGTGTTTTTCTTCATACGTATCTATATAAATAACATTCTATATCTCCTCTAGTGCTGAGCTGCTGTTACCATGTTCTTCTGCCGTAGCTCTGTAGTCTGTTATCTGTAGTTAAATTTCACAAAATTCATGGCCATTTTTTTCCCAAATATTTCTTTGGTCCCTTTCCTCTTCTTCTTCTTCTTCTTTTTTTTTAATTAAATTATAGCTGTGTACATTAATGCAATTATGGGGTATTATGAGGGTAAAATGTGCTAGTTTTATATACAATTTGAAATACTTTGATCTAACTAGTTAACATTTCTGTTAACAGTCTTCACCGCATTTAAGACATTTATATTCTACACTTGGTAGATTTAACTTGTACCCTTGTAAAATGCACCATAGGTGTGGTCCCACCAATTACCTTCCCACCACCCATCCTCTCCACTCCCCTCCCCCTCCTCTTTCCCTTTCATCTTGGGCTGTAGTTGGGTCATAGCTTTCATATGGAAGTGTAGGTGCTTATAAGTTGGTTTCATAGTAGGGTTGAGTACATTGGATACTTTTTCTTACATTCTTGAGATACTTTGCTAAGAAGAATATTCTCCAGCTCCATCCATGTAAACATAAAAGAGGTAAGAGGTAAAGTCTCCATCTTTTTTAAGGCTGCATAATATTCCATGGTGTACATATACCACAGTTTATTAATCCATTCATGGGTTGTTGGGCACTTGGGCTTCTTCCATGATTTAACAATTGTGAATTGGGCTGTAATAAACATTCTGGTGCAAATATCTTTGTTATAAAGTGATTTTTGATCTTCTGCATATATACCTAATAGAGTAATTGAAGGATCAAATGGCAGGTCTATTTTTAGATCCCTAGGTGATCTCCAAACATCTTTCCAAAGGAACATAGTAGTTTGCATTCCCACCAGTAGTGCAGAAGTGTTCCCTTTTCTTCACATCCACACCAACATCTATGGTTTGGGGATTTTGTGATGTGGGCTAATCTTACTAGAGTTAGATGATATCTCAAAGTAGTTTTGATATGCATTTCTCTGATGATTAAGGATGATGAGCATTTTTTCATGTTTCTGTAGGCTGTGCACCTGTCTTCTTCAGAAAAGTTTCTCTTCAAGTCCCTTGCCCACACTGAGATGGGATCACTTGTTCTTTTCTTGCTAATACGTTTGAGTTCTCTGTGGATGGGTATTAAACCTTAGTCAGAGACATAACCTGCAAATATCTTCTCCCATTCAGAGGGCTGTCTGCTTGCTTTACGTATTGTGTTTGGCTGTGCAGAAGCTTTTTTGTTTGATCAGCTCCCAGTAATATATTTTTGGTGTTGCTTCAATTGCCTGGGGGCCCCTCCTCATAAAATATTCTCCCAGGCTGATTTCTTCAAGTGTTTTCCCTGCACTTTCTTCTAGTATTTTTAGTTTCATGTCTTAAGTTTAAATCTTTTATCCAGTGAGAGTCTATCTTAGTTAATAGTGAAAGATGTGGGTCCAGTTTCAGTCTTCTACAGGTCGCCAGCCAGTTCACTCAGCACCATTTGTTAAATAGGGATTCTTTTCCCCACTGAATATTCTTGATTGGCTTATCGAAGATCAAATGACGTTAAGTAGGTTCATTTCTTGG